CAGTTTAAAAGCACAAGTTAAATTCAATGAAAAGGGAAGAAGTTAAATAAAATTTAGCTTCAAAATATTTTTGGAGAGGGCTGTTAACAGTTTTAAAAGTCAAATTTAACTTAGACAATTAATTTGGTATATTTTACTTATTTATACCAAATTGCTGCGAAAGCATTTTTAAGACAGTTGACACTTTTTAAAATGTATTAAATCAACCTTGGCATAGATATGAAATTAAAAGGTATTTTTTTTGGTGGCAAATAGATTTTATAAGATGTTTTTCAATTCAGAAATATACTTGGAGGTTTTGTCATTGCCTGCCTAAAAGCGATCGCTGTTAGAAACAACGTTTTATAATTTTAGATGTTATTTGGACCAGGTATCCAAACCTGCTTCTACGAAACGGTAGTACGCACCTCTCCACCACTCAACCACATTGCTTTCACAAATCATAAGATACAATTTCAATTCAACCGCATACAGTTTTTATTAATAATTGATAGTCATAAACGGACTTATGTATGTATGTATGTATGTGTACCGTACATGCTCCTATGAAATAAAAAAGTGGAACATGAAATAGCGCACGGCCAATGGCAGATGTAAAACAAAGAAACGCACAAAAAAGTAATTAAGAGCACAAGTGGTAACATATGAAGCAACATTGTTCTACGTAGTAATGCAACAACAAACAAACAAAGAAAACAAGTTTACGCACCAAACATTGCTGCATAATTTAACAGCAGCAAACTAAAAAAAAACTATTTGTACACAGAAGTACAATGGCATTGCATGTAAAATGATACAAAACAAAACAAAACAAAACAAAACATTTTATTTCCACACTAAACAAAAGTAATTTATGTACATATGTAGATATGCAAGCAAAAATACACTCTTGTAGCTAAAGGCATTTGTTCGACAAAGCAGACCTGCTCATGTTAAAAGCACAAAATAACTGAGGATTACAGAGCGCCAAGAAGCAGAGGAAGCCATTTGCAAACACATACATATAGTATGTATACATATGTACTTAAATACGTAGTAAGCAAGTTGTTGTGGCATAAAATGACAGTCATTTCGTGTGTATCGCACTTCAAGGTGTTAGCTGTGTTCAAATAAATAACTGCCAAAGATGCGCTTGTAAGAACCAGATGCATCAAATACTAGTATACCAAAGCACATGAACATAAGCAAGGCCAATACATATGTACATAATCAAGTAAGTAGGTTGGTAAATTGAGCCGAGCCCTTGATATGCCTTTGCAGTGCATCGGCACTCAAGTGAGAAATTTAAATCGCACAAGTTTATGAGGCTCATATTTTTACGGCCGATTACGAATCGTGTTTTATAATATTGATTTTATAATGCTGACATGATAATAAACTTTGTAAATTTAAAATTTAATGCCTATCGATAGGCGTGTTTGTAAATACATATGTACATACATATGTGCAATAAAAATTTGAATTTATATACAGTATTACGCATACATACGGTGACCATAAATATGGATTCAAAATGAAGGACAATTTTTCAAAAATATGCCCGCATATATTTACGTAGTGTAAAAATATCAAAAGAGTATTTATGATTCTAAATTCTTAATACATTTTAAACTTCAAAAATTAATCACCCTTTCTTTATTGATAATAATCTTTTTTTACATGAATATTTATAAAAGTATAGTAAAACATATTATAATTACAATAGCTTACACGAAAAGTGAAAATCTTTAAAAGATTATTTTATATGCAAATTTTGAGTCGTTCAAAACGAAAACAATACCCTTCTTTTTTTGTTTTTTTTTTGGTACTTTTCGCAGTTATTTGTCAAAAATCGACGTAATGAATCGACGTAAATGACGAGTTACAAAATGCCCTTTACAAAAATATATAATTTGTGCAGATTGCGAGCCATAGCAACTACATTTCTAATACGATTTTCATTATCTTTGGCTCAAAGTTTACTGTAATGATATATCTTCTTTATCGAATTTTTTAAATAATGAAAAAACATAATCAAATGAAACTGCGTATTTGATTGAAAATCTCACTTTTTTCGCCTGTAGCACTAATAATTTTCATTGAAGTCGCCACAAGTTATATATTTTGGTAAGAGGCACATCAATACCTTTCGAGCTGTAAGTCGCTTACGTTAATTTGCAGATTTTTTCATGAGATATTGAAGAAAAGCTACGAAAAGTACCAAAAAACACTTTTTTTTTAAATGCATCCATAATTTTAAATAATTTTAAAATAACGAATAAAATGCGGGACAAATGCAGGACACTTGGAAAAAATCAGTACATTTTCAGGTTTTTCAGATTTGAAAAACTACGCAGGACCGACCTTTTGAAAAACAGTACGGTCCTGCAAAAAACAGAACGGATGGTCACCGTACGCATACACCATGTGTTGCGAGATCTCGGAGGCGTATGAGTAATATTAGCGCCAGCCGAAATGAATTGATTTGAATGTGCTAAGCATCAGTGTTGCCAATTTTGGTACTTTCGTACCAAAACTGGTACTGTGACAATGATTTGGTGCGTTGGTACGTTAGTTTTGATTTTCGTACTTTTTCCATAAAAGCGACAGTTCGGGAAAACAATATTTATTTATTTCCATATACTTTTTTAAATTTTTCTATATTCTATTTTTATTTGCCAAATTCAATACGCGAAAGCTATCGCAAAGCCATAGATCGAACAGTGCACATTCCTACAATTCTTATTCACTTTGCAATAAGTCCATAAAGACGGATGAGGCTTTAATGGAGTGATTGAGAAGTAAGAAAGTTAAATTAATTTGATGGGAAATAAATTTAGTAAATTTGTAGGTTGCTTGCAGATTCCTTAAGCAAAAGCAAGGACGAATTACATGAATTCACCTCAGGAAACCTCAAACGTAGAAGGCATGTCAGAGGCTTATATGTTTGCGGCATTTTTTTTTTAATATCTGTAATTTTCTATTTTGAACTATTGTACACATTTTTCAGTGTTAAAAACGAGAGCAGAGAGGAGCGTATTTTTCCCTGAACTGGACTCAAAATTAATACAGTGGCTTTAGTTTGGCAGCCTACAAAAGCATATCACACCATATTTTGGCAAATAAGGTCGCCCTTTTAGTCAGTGAAAAAATCAATAAGAACTTCCTCAACCGAGGCTTTATCCTTTTGCAATTTCTGGGACTTAACTTCTTTCTTCAGCGTAATTTTCTTTTGAATTTGAAGGCTGATATTATAATTGGTATAAATGCTAGTTCCTAAATAAACGAGGTCGTCTAGTTTTCCGAAATTATAGCTATCAACGCTAATGGGATTGCCAAGATGCGTATGCGTTGACTGATTGCCTGATGTCAAAGGATACCTAATTGTGTCCTCAATTACCACCATGCTCACGTATTTTGCTTGTCTATTTAAAGAAAGTGTTCATTGTTACCGATAATGTCGATGTCGTCGGCAAATGCCAATAATTGTAGGCTTTTTTGGCCTTCGGGCCAATGGAAGACCCAAACACGAATTAATAAAAATGTAGATAATAAGGTGTAAATTTTTACTGTATATTTGCGTATATGTCTAATTTAGTAAAAGGCATTTTGGATATATGCACATATGTGTATACAGTTTGTATGTAATTATGTACATACTTATTGGGACAGTATGGGTTAAGTTTTGTTTCATAAAATCATTGGTTCTTAGTAATTAGGGTAATTTTGTATTACACGAGTATATTGACCTGTGTATCTATAAGTGTGTATCTCCATGTTCAACTGATTCCTTGAGTTTGGGTTGCTGAGTTCTGGCCATTACTAAAGCAGAGTTCTCAGGTAAATGTCGATCACATTGGGTTTGTATTTGAGTTATTATGAAGTTAGCGCTGTTTCCCATACCTGCCTTATCCTCTATTTGATTTTCGACGTTGCTGAAAGATGAACTTCGATAAGTTAATCAGTTAAAATTTGCTGGCAATATTTTTGGTAGGGAGGTCATTGTGCCCCCATAACTCATTTTATCCTAACAAAAGCTTATTTCTTCTAGAGTCACTCACATAAGTATCCTGCATTGATTTTTTTACGATATTAAAAATTTTTTTCGTGATAAATTTTTTCCGTTAATACTTGTGAAAATATATCTTATTCTACAATCAAAAACCTTGTAAATTAAAACTTTAATTTTTGCAGGATAATAAGAAAAAATTTGTAAATTTCCATTTAAAATTTCAAACTTTTGATTTGTTACAAAAAAATTGAGAATGTAATTTTATATTCATAGCCCATTCAACGATTTTAATGCATGAAATAAAATGCTCAACACCGTCAGCAAAAGAAAACTATTAAAATTTAATACGCTATAAAAGTGCATACTCGAATTTTAGATGAAAATCATGTATGTACAAATTTTTTCAATTTTGAATTTTGGTTTACTGAATTTTCTCCAAAGTTTGGATTTTTGTTTGACACGATTCGTGTTGCAAAAGAGCTTTATTTTTATAAAAAATTTACGAAAAAAAATTACCATGAAAATATTTTGAATATCGTCCGAAATTCAATGTAAAATATCTACTTCTTTAATTGAAATACACTTTTAGGCAAAATTAGATTGCGGTGGAAAATTTTATTTTTTAAAATTACACATTTTTCCGCCATTATGGATCTCCACAAGGTGAATTCATATAAGGTGGTGTTATTAGAAGGTGGTGTTATTAGAAGAGCTAATTTTATTCCCATTTACACACATATTTTGACAGTTCACACGGCAAAAGCAAAAAAAAATACACGCAAATTTTTTTCCTGCTGCTATCTTCTCATATTAAGTCGTCTTGGATCCGATTTTTGATTTGATAAGATTACCATATGGCATTTAAAAATAGGCTTTGATTAACCCCGTCCCACGATGCATTTTCTAAGAGTATGGGGTCGCCCATCCAAAAAGCAATGGCCAATATACATTTCTTTTTTTCTAATTAAAACACATTAAAAAATTTAACTTAGAATTCTCTTTCTTACAGATTTGCGTCAAATTAACCAATGTGTGCTAAAAAACGACTTGTAAAATGCCTAAAGCTAAAGAAAAAATTAATTTTTAAGATTTAAACCAATTTTAATTCACATGAATAAACATACCAAGAAGAACATAAGACTATAAAAAGGCTATTAAATGTGCATCAAGAACTTGTACAATTAATGATTTCAACACTTGGCGAAAAGTCAAACCATAAATACATGGCAAAGGAATCAACAGCATGTGTGCATAAAGGTGAGTAATCCATCAAAAGGTCATACGTTTTTACTTTAAGTTGAGCAAACATGTTGACACTTGTCACATATGATAAATGATTTCGCTTGCATATTCATACATACATGCATATAAGTACTTATACACATACATACATATGCGTGCGTTTGTATAAACTTTTACTTACATTTATGATAGCTGTTGTATTTGTTAGAGTAATAGATGTGTATGTTTATATATTTTATATATATATATATATATTATTTTATATCCAATAGCAGTCCAAGTCATAGCAGAATCATAGTAGTGATATGTTAAATACACGGAAACTAAATTTTCCCATTAAGTGCACCGTGGCGTATGAGTGACATAAATAAACTTTGAATGCACACTGATTTGATTGCGGCTATAAATCACTTAAAAATACATTGCCTGAGCACTTAAGCCAAATAAACGCTAAATGTCATGATTAAAAATAAACAAACTATTTTATCTAAAGCGCAAAATAACAGTTCAAGCAATTTTATAAATATTTTAAGCCAATCCACATCATCCACATGCAATCAGAGTCACTTTTTCTAAGGTCTGCGCTTAAATGCTTTTTAACAATGAATTAGAATAAAAAAAAAAAAAAAATGAACTAGAGCAGAAAAGCAAAATAGAAAATGAAACTATCAGCATTCATTGAGTTTTTGCTTTCGTTCACCGCCAATTCAACTGAAATTACAAATCAACAAATGGCATTGTTCAGAAGAATGCATTGCATTCATTTTGTATTATTCAAATTGACTGCGCGCTACCATACTACAACAATGTCAGCCAGGCAACGAAAGCTATAGATGCAAATTAAAAACGCCAGCCGCGCGGTAGATTAGTGTAGCGCCATGGCCAGGGCCAGCGGTGGCAGCAACGCTTGTAAGACTGATAGTCAGGAAGCAAAAGTATGCAAAGTAAATATATACTAGATTACACAATGCTCTTAGTGGCATTGAAAATAGTTTATTATTGTAGCTTGGCAAGTACGAATGAAAATGGTACGTGTAAGTAGTTGGGGTTGCTGGAATGCTCTAAGTCGAAAAAAGGAAACTAATTAAATTTGCAATAATTGAGTGGGGGAAAAAGTGTATGCATAATTAAAGAGGATTCGAATATTGGTAGAGAATGGCGGTTGGCTCAATTAAATGCAACCAACAGTTGAGCTCAGTAGGGAACTGGGGATGCATGCGCTTCGAGAAAATAGAATAGCATTGATAACTGCTACTACAGAAAGCTTTTTCGAGTTTAATCGAAAAAGTATTTTGTTAGCCATTGATTATCAGACTTTATTGAAAAGAAAAGCAATATTTCAGAACTTGTTGCATTAATATGCAGATTTTGAGCAAGTAACTGTGAGCGTAATCAACTGGGTTTGCACTTTTCTGACAAAAATTACCGATATATTACGACAATGTTCCCTTTGCCGCTAATGTTGGCAAGTGGGAAAAACTAAAAACTGATACCAGGAGAGACGCTTCTCCTATTATTTTTCATGGAGAAAAGCTGGTTCGCTACCAGAATTTTCCTCTCTCCCTTCCTCAAACCTCAGCTTCGAAATTTTGGTTCACATAATGAGGAATAGACAGAAGACTCACACATAGTCATAGCTGTAGCCAGGTAGGGGCAGAGGGTGCTCCAAAATTTTCCCTATATATTTAAAATATAGTACCCTGAAATGCCAGCTTAATAGGGTTAATTTTACTTTCATTCTTCAAATTAATCTTACTCTTAGTCCTAATTCTTAACCACAATCTTAATATTAATATTACTCTCAATGTTAGTTAGAATATTAATTTAACCCTTTTAAGACCATAGGCCTATACTTAGAAATTCATGATTTCAATTGTTTGATGTGATTAACCGAGGTGTAAGCAAATAAATTCTTATTTAAAAAATCAATGTAGAAAATAATTTGTTTCTAAAAAAATTGCAGTAATTTCAACTAAAAAGTATCTGTTTCAAACTTTATTATTCAAAAAAAAAAATTGATTAATCAACAATTTTTTCTTTTTTTAATTTTAAGGTTTTTCCAAAAAATATTTTTCCAAAAATTGTTTTCCCCAAAGATATAATTTTTGGCACAAAACTAGTCTTTTTCATACATAAGGCTAAATTTTTTTTTAAATTCTGACAGATTTTTTTTTTTACGTACATTATTTTTTCCGTAAACTAACCTAAAATTTTAATAATTAGCAATTATTAATTTTGAAATTTTTATTTCGAAAAATAGTTTTGTCCATTGCAAACTTTTACTGTAAAAATTTCTTATTTTCCTAAAAGTGTTTGTTCTAATTTGGGTAAAATTATTTTTTCCTCCAAAACTGTTTGTCTTTAATTATGGTTTTTCGTAAGAGTTATTTTCCCTTCAAAAAAAAAAAAATCTTTAAACACTATTTTTCTAATCTTGAAAAAAATATCTTTTCCCAAAATTTGTTGATCAAAATAGCTAGATTTCTTACTCTAAAAATAGCAAATATAAAACTACTAAAATCGTACACTATCTATCTATATATATAAAATTCAAATTATGTATGTACCTATAGACACACTTGGCTCCTAAACGAATAAGCCGATCGTAACCAAATTTTACACACGCACTGGATATCTTCCAGGGATGGTCACAGGGTAAAAAATATTTTGATATATAAAGGGGGCGTGGCCCCAAAACGTGGACCCGGGTAACCTTAGGATGTATTTGTTTAATATGG